GTCTAGGTAAATGGGTACTCGCCTACATCCAAGACGTCCTTGATTCCTGGCCTGATCTGAGAGGGCTGATGAGGAGGAGGATAGTATGCGGTTCTATGAGCGGGTCGCGGGTGAAGGGGTTGGGTGAAGGGGTGTGAGGGGAGTGAGGGGGAGGGGTTTGGCGGGTGAGGGGATGTGAGGGAGGGAGGGGTTTTGTGGAGGGGGTTTAGTAGGTAAGGGAGATATTATAGCCCTATATGTTACATTCATTAATAAAAATTCCAACTTTTCCGAAATTTCTATAAGTCTTTACAAAGTACATGTATATATATTATATTCTCTTTCTCTCTTACTCCCTCTCTCCTCTCGAATAAGTTATATTATATATAATATGGATTTCTTATATCTTAGATGTTTTCTTAAATAAAAGACGTACTAACTATTATTCGTAGTAAAGTATCTTCTCGCTATTATTTAGAGAAATTAAGAAGGAAGAAAAGAGTATAGAAAAGTTAGAAATATAGTTTGTTTTCTCGTTCGTCGCTTAGCTTATTATTCTTAGGTTAATAACCTTTATAAATATAACGTTTAAAAAGAGGGGATAAAGCTAGAAAGGTCTCTTATCCCTTCTAGATAATAAAGGGAGCAAGTAAGACGTATACTCGAAGTAGAGTAAAAGTATATACTTTTATAACTTCTTCCCCGTAAAACAAAGTTATTCGGCTAACTAGAACAGGTTGCCAAGGATTGAAGCCTTAATTCGACCTAGTTTTATATCTACTTATTTCTACTTCGAGTATTCGTTTCTTTTACTCCCTTTATTATCTAGAAGGGATAAGAGACCTTTCTATATTCGTCGGAAGTAAACTAGGTCTATACCGGGTTCGTCTAACGGGAATATCTATTATAGTTATAATAATAGTTAATATCTAATATTCTACCTACCGGGATTAGTTGTAAGGATAAGTAAAAGCTCGACCCTACGAGTTTAGGGTTACTACTACTCTACTTCACTTTTATAGCTTGAAGGGAATAGGTGAAGGCTTGTGCCTCCCTCCGGGTTCAGTTATATATATATGGGAACGTCGGAAGCCGCTATTACTATATCACTACAGCGACAAAAGCTAGCGTAGTGGAAGAAAACGAAATAAAAAAGAAGTGAGTAGTTGCGTTCGCCGGGAATCGAACCTATTTAATGTTAGTAAAGAAGTTCCAGTGGATAGAAGAGGAGAAGAACTAACCCGGGGCCAATGCAGATGATATCCAAGAGTTGAGGCTTTTGAAATTGGCAAGCATCGATTTTACCACTAAACCACAAACGCTGTTGATTTTTTGTTGAAGCAGAAATGCTTGTTTGAGATCATTTCATTTTGAAAATTCAGGTGTGTGGACTTTGGAATGTAAGTGGAGTAAGTGGATTCAGTTTTATCCACTTTCTTGCTGCGGAGAATTACTTGCATGATGTGTGCCCACAGTTAAGCGAACACTTCTGGAATCAGAGGGGAATGGTAGATACTTCTAGTAATCCTTTGCTATATTTTGTTTCTTATGGATTGTAGTTAAGCTGTTCCTAGTTCGTTCATTAGTTGGCGCAGATATGGTTTGTATGGATGTCTGTCACGTTTTGGGAATGAACTTCTAAGGCATGTTCATGTATGCTTCACAATCCTGGCCATCTTGGCAACTTGCAGTACAGTACATATCAGAACAACAACAAAAATATCTCCAGATACCTAAATGGTGTAGAGAGCGACCAAGAAAATCCTCGTTTCTACGAGCCACAAAAGATAGCGACCGCTCGCCCAAGACTATCATTCTGGCCTGGGTCACTGGTAATTGGTGGTAAGTTGTGCCTCAGCTGTATTTCAAGAATAAGCAGAAGAAGTAAGCAAACTCGAGAACTATACAACGAGCTGTGAAAGAGCACCTGGTCAACGCTTCATCCATATCACGGCGTCTCCCGACTCGTTGTTTCCCTATTCTCTCATACTTGCCACCTCTGTTGAGTGCCTTTGTACTCCATATGTTTGTTTCAATACTTTTGCACAGGAGATATACGAGGGACTTTGTTTTTATTCACTTTGCATAAAATGGCTCTAACAAGAAAAATGTTTCGCCAAATCAGTTGCTGTACTTCTACAGGTCAAACCCGTCCTTGGCGTTGTTTCATGCGTTGGAAACCGATAGGAAAGTTCAAAACGCTGTCTGATTTATGCAAATCATGCGTTCACGATTAATGAAGGTCTCGACTTGTGCACCAAGACCACCAAATTCTCACCACCTGATCCTCGTCACGATCGTGGTATTCAAACATCTAGTGTGTAGATGGTTCTTTCGGCTGCTTGGGATGTGCAGATAACCTCCTTCCTTTCAAGATTCCAACACCAAGATATGGGTTGATTGTTCTTGCTGCTATTGATGGCTGGCCACAACTTTCTTCGTGATTCTCTGGAAGATGACCGCACTGTTCTTACCACTCACTCGTTTAAACCCTACGACCTAGTACCTACTAGAAGTAATTATAATGTTGCGGAACCTTCTCCAACACCATCTCCTCCAAATGCCGCTTCTTCAACACAGCCTCCAAATGCAATCATCACTGAAGCTCCTCATCTAGAATTGCGGCAGAATAACCCTCAGGACTGCAAGAACCTCTGCGATGCCTTGGTTGATCGAGCAAAGGTGGAAAAAGAGAGGACGATCATCGCTCTTAATGGAACCTATAATCAACAAATTGAGGCTGCGAGAATTGCTGCAGTCAACGGTATCCGACAAGCTCAGGTTGAGGCAAACTCAACAGTCAACCTAGTGATACGAAGAGCAGATATCGTTACGTCTGCTGCAAGCGCCGATGTTCTTGCTGCGAATAAAGCAGTTGCCAGGTTTGTGTTTCTGGTTTGATTCTGCCCCTTGTCTTTGAGACAGTGAAAGTACTACTCTCGTTCAACTTGAGCTGCTTTTTCTTTGGGTTTTCTCTTCGGCCCTTAAAGTGTTACTAGAAAAGGCAACGCTGACTTGAGATCCTTTGTAGTGCAGATGCAGCTCTTACGACGGCACAAGCAAATGCGACTCTTGCAAACATAGCCCTTACGAGTTGCCTTGCAAATGCTACGCAAATAAATTCAGCATTGGACAATGCGAATGCGGCCTTGCGAAATGTCTCCTCAGCTTCTATCAACGAGGTCGCCAGGTTGAGCTCAACAATCCTTTCGCTACAAGGTAATGTGGCTTCTGCAGCGGTAAGATTTCTTATGTTCAAGTGTATACACATCGCATTAACACTCGAATCTAGGCGGCAGCAGCAGCAGCATCGGCAGCGGCATCGTCAGCAAACGACGCAGCAGCCGCCGCGGCTACTAAACCAGGCTCATGCGTAAGCTAAGAAAATAGACATCGGTTAAAGTTTCGAAATCTGACTGTAATCATAGTTAATACCACCGCCAGCAGGCACGTCACCCGACGTGTCCATTACTTCTGCTCAGGTTATACTGATAGTGATCGGTGGTCTGATTCTCGTCTTCCTTCTGGGCTTTGCTGGCTACTTCCTGGTATCACGAAAGAAGAGAATGGGAGAGCGAGATAGTTACCTTGATGAAAAAGATTCGGCTAGCAGTCCGCGTCGACTGAACTCGCGGATGAGTTCTGCATACCGAACAGGCAATGGAATGAAAATCCAATATAATCCACGAAATGCAGCAGCTCATGAGCCGATGCCTACAGTCACTGACCAAACTGGTGGTCTTCTTGTTCCTTCGAACGCAAACAACAGCAATTCAAATGTCTCCGGGGTCAGTGTTCCGCCTACGGGTCTTTCTATGGTGCCGGTCGGTTCCCCTATTCGCCCGAACACTTCGCACTCGACATCTGTGGACAGCCCAGATCGCGAAGCATTCGAGGCATGGTCTTTAAAGAACAGGCAGAACGAGCAAATCAAGCGGTCCCCAAGATTTGCCCAAGGGCCCAAGTCACCTATGGTGGAAGAGACAGCTACAGCGGTTTCATACGCGGAGACTCCAGCAAAATCCGAATTGATAACAAACTCATATCCAATCTTTTACGATCAACTTCGAGTACAACCGGGCACAGATGTAGCTCCAAGAAAGCCCAGTTATGGAAAGACAGAGCGCAAGAGGTCTGCAATTAACGTGACAAATCCATTCGATGTGCAACCAACATCACCTGTTCAAAAGGCAGCAACTCAGGGACATAGAGATCTACCACTGGCCACAGACGACACATCACAAGATATCAAGACAACCATATTGGATGTGAAGGACACTATGATGGACGAGCCTCTAAGTGTGCCAATTACTTTCTTCTCGAATTACGAAAATCCTTTCTTAGATCCAGCCCAAGCAACGCCCAAATCAAAGGAAGCTGAACCGCGAGGTTTCACTGCCCAAACACCCAAGACACCAAAAACACCACGCAGAGAGGTCTTTGATCTCGAAAAGTTGCTATCTCCGAAAAAGAACAGATTTCCAGCTCCAGAGACTCTTGCAATGCTACGACAAGAAGAAGCGCCAAGAACCAGTACCGTGCCTGAAATTGATCGTCTACTTCAATTAGTCGCAAAGCAGAACGAGAAATACAGTGATAAACCGCTTTTCTGGACTGACTTTAGACCACCGGACCCAGAGGTTGAGACATCGTTGTCGGTTCCACTGGGACGCGAATCACCGGAGCCTTTGAATGTCAAGAAAGAACCTGTTGTTGAGAAGTCACCAGAGGTAATTCCTTCGCCTCCAGTAACAACTCCTCCACCAGTAGGTCCACCACCAACGATTCCACCACCAGCAATCCCACCACCAAAGAGGTCTCCAGTAACTGAAAGAGAAGAACCAAAATTGCTCTTCAATATTCCAGTGCCGCCAATTCCGGAATCAAATCCCAGGGATAGAACATTATCTCCTCTTCGCCGAAACCCAGTCATTGATAGAGAACGTTCAATCAGCGCCCGCCCATCTCTCAAGAGCACTCAAAGCTCAGAGTCGACCCTGCCGACACCAGATCCTAATCCCGGAGCCCCAGATGACAGAGAACTTTCACCTCTCCGCCGCAATCCCTCGCAAGTTCGAAACATTACCTCCCTCCTAGCCGAACAACCACTTCACATCAATACCTCCTCCTCACCACCTACAGCACCACCCACAGCATCCCTTCCAGTACCTGGAACAGAGTCCGAGACCCATGGGGAAAGAGGCCGCTCCATGATCCGAACCTCAGACATCATCGAAGCGCGTCTATCCTGGAAATCCCAACTCGCAAAGCAGGACGAGGAAGCCCTCAAGGAACTCGACCAAGAGAAAAGAGACCGGGCAAAATCACCCTTACGGAGGAATCCCGTTGACTTGGAAGCCCTCCGGCGCTCACCATCTCTCAGATCATATAAATCCGGCATGAGTGGTACAACAGCAAACACCAACTCTCCACCACCAATGCCACAGTCAAAACGGCGATCAATAACTCTCTCCCCACCTCCCCGACACGATTCCATTCCTCCTGTCCCTGTCTTGAATCCTTCCCAACAATCTTCCAGTCCCCCCGTCCGCAACTCCATCCAAAGAAATCGATCAAGTAACCCACACTTCTCCCAAGTCCTTGAACGCTTTCAAGTTCTCGCCAGTCAGAATTCCGTTGATAAGGGAGCACTCACTAACGAGGTTACTCAACGGGCTATTGCGGGTATTTATATCCCCGGTAGTCTGAGAGAACAGGCGGTGAGGAACTCGAGTAGTAGTCGAGGGGGCCAAGTTGGAAGGAGTACTAGTAGAGGGCCACAAGCTGGGATTGGGAATGAGGGACTGGGGAGGAGCGCAAGCTCGAGGAGGTAGGGAGATTAGTGAAATGGTGGAGTGGATTGGAGTGTGGAGTATATGTGTCAAAGACAAATGTATATAGGGAATGGACGTATGGTGTCTGGAGTTTGTTGGTTAGGGCAAGGTATATATGGGAGCCTTGTATGGTTTGGGTATTCCAAAATCACGGAATTTGAACTGGGTTGGGTCGTTGGCATGCTGTAACGACCTGAAAAGAGTTCTGCAAAACTGATATTGCGTGTTTGGGATTCACTTCTGTGTATATATATTCTTTTGTAGAGCAAATTGTAATATGTACTACACGAGTGAATGAATGGATGATGCTTAAGAGACTGGGGTATATTATTCACTAACTCTTAGTTTAATTTAGCAATTCACGCTCCTAAATGTATTCTTTGCTTATATCGCATTTGTTAGTCTAGAACAGATTAAGTGAAACGAATAAGCCAAGTAAGTATCCAGTCAATAGCAGCTTTCCCCTTTTAGTTACTTCGCTTACAACTAGGAAAAGCACGTGAAGATAACCAAGTCACCAAAGTGTGGCATGGAGTTTTCTCTACTGAAATGTCTCTTACATTGCCTCTAAAAATAAAGGAGCGATTTACTTAGAGCCACTACTTCCCATTTTAGTGGTATACGATTTAGGATTAACTTTGTGCTGAAAGTAGTAGATTTTACGCTGGAAGGCAAGTTCTGTTTTTCGTAGTGCTTCCCAAACACAAATTCTAAGCGAGACCCAATACTAAGCGAAGTGAAGAAGGGAGTAGACTAACGACAGTAAATTAACGGGAGACATTGGACATCAGGTATGATTTGATATATCAATACTACAATGAAAAACATATGTGAATACGACCGATGGATGATAATAGCCAGATAGTTTTAATGAGCATATTCCTGCTTCCCTAATGACAGGAAGTGGCAGGTATGAAACGTGAGAGCTTAAGTAGACATGTGTCAGGTATGATAGATTCCTATATCAAACAAATTGTTTTTTACTATAAAAGTCAGAGTGAATGATTGAAAGAGATTCTCCAATGTTTATGAGGGGGTATTCTTAGAAGTCCAAGGAGTGCACGGACATAATCGGATCAATCACAGCTCACATGCTTGAGCTCCTGTGAATCAACCTCGCGTCGCACCAGCACATATTACACATTCATTAAAGCAATGCATCACCAGCTTATTACTTTCTGGTATTCATATAACTCCAAAAGCAGATAACCCCCTTCCTCCTCCTCCAGCATATCCTGGACATGACGCATATGATTTCGCATCTCCCTCAACGCTGCAGCTGCAGGCCAGAATTAAGAAGCTCAGCCTTGTCGCTTTCTGATGTCATTGTCGCCAAAAAGTACTGAGTACGATTGATACGATTGATCCTCATCACTTGCACTTGCACCACCACAAACAGAGCTCAAGCCATCACCATGGTTGCCGAACAATTGCGACCCCTTCTCCTCCCTCAAAATCGCAAAGTGCGACACCTTCAAGGAATATATATCCGAAACCTTACAATATCACGCCCACGCGTACATACCATTGATGATGCGGCACTCAACAAAACGCCTGAGAAGCTCGAAACTCTACGTGAGCCACAATTACACCATGCAGCCTCGTCAGGAGATCTGCGGAGACCGGCAAAGGAGCGAAGGACGAGTTCGAATTGGGTGGGCGCAAGCCCCGGGCTGAGGCAGAAGAAGCTGGAGGATGTTATTGATAGCCGGATGACGGATACGTTCTTTACGATTCATTGCGACGGGCAGGAGGATCCGATTTATGTCAGCGAAGTGGTGGAAAAGGCAATGAACCCAAACTTTCGACACTTTGACCTTTCCGGGCTAGGTCCAGCGATTGCTCGAATGGATACCGTCACAATTCGGGTCTGGGTCAAGAAGACGGATTTTATACCATTATTGGAGGAAGAGGTCAACCTACGGTCCCTTTGCTTCATCGGCTCACTCGAAAACCATATTTTCCCACAGAACTCTATTGTTTTCCAGCTCGTTGATGGCACATATACCATGGAAATAGCGTCGAGACCGCCGAAGCCGAAAACTGCCCCCTCATTGCCAACTTCTTCATACAGTGCTCTTATGCGACTGTCAAACTTGGACGAGTCGATACAAGATGCGCTGGCAACTCGGGAGGAGCTTGCAAATCAGATCAATGCAATATTCAAGGAAATACCGGTCAACGACGCTCCACAAGCACGAGAAGAGGCAGCGCTTACAAACCGATATGTGACATCTGAGCGGAAGTTACTCAAACAGTCCATACGAAAGCGGGCAGAATTGAAGGTTTCTATAGCTACGCGAAAAGAGGCCATCAAAGTCGGACAGGAAGTACAAGCTCGAACGCAAGAAGATATTGATAATGCGCAAGACAAGCTGGAGAAATGTCGGACACTATTAGCGGAGAACACTACGGAGCTACACCAACAGCGCCGACGGATATGTGAGGATCTTCTTCACATTTTTCCGATCGAGCCGACGAAATCACCGCTATTATTTACAATCTGCGGGCTGCCCCTTCCGAATTCTCAGTTCGACGACAAGGATGAGGATACGATTTCCGCCGGATTAGGTTATGTAGCACGTGTGGTTTACATGCTTCAGTATTATCTTGGTGTTCCTCTTCCATATCCAATAACACATCTTGGATCTCGATCTTTGATCAACGACCACATCTCCATCTTACAAGATAACCAGCGCACTTTCCCTCTTTATAATAAAGGGACTTTACGTTTTCGATTCGAATACGGTGTCTTCTTACTGAACAAAGATATCGAATGTTTGGCAGAAAGTCAGGGACTCAAAGTCCTTGATATCAGACAAACCTTACCGAACTTAAAGTATCTCCTCTATGTTTGTAGTGCAGGGACCAGCGAGCTTCCGGCACGAAAATCCGGGGGTGTAAAGGGTTTACTTTCTGTTGCAAAACCATGGGATCATTCCTCAGCTTCGAGTAGGAGGGGAAGTGCTGATAGCGGTGTTTCAGGTGCTGCTGGAGATCAATTACGTTTGGCGATGGAGAAGGATGGGGATAAGAAGGCGTTGAAGGTTGGGAGTGGGAATGGGAGTGCTTTTGGGCTTGGTCATGTACAGAGTTTGAGGACCAGTGGGCTAAGGGAGAATGTTTACTGAGGGCGGTAGGGGAAAATAGCATAGTAATTATTAGTAGCTAATACAAGAGGCGGTTGTTCTTTTAGTTCTGGGTTCCTTTGAACTTGGACCTGTATCTTTCCGCTGAATCTGGACTTATTTGGTTGGGCCTGCTTCTCTGGAATCTTCTGAGTGGATCATTCTATGACAGCACTGTGCATGATGGATCTTAGTTGATGCTTACTGCAAATTTCACTGGTTGGAAGTCTTCGAATCCTCTTCGGTATACACGCATGCTGGTTGGCTGCTTGTTAGACGTCAAATTCAAGCTATTATTACGGAGTATGTCACCTCCTTCCGATCGTCATATTCTATCAATTATGGGGGTTCGTTTCCTAGCCCGTTTCATGTAAACTCCAGGAGATCTCGGGAAATTAACGACTCCACAACCCGTCCCTCCCGCGCTGGAATCTCATTCATGGAACTTCTTTCTGGTGGTTCTAGAACGACGGGTATGGCGTTTTTGTTCCCTGTGGTTACCCATGATCAAGCTTTGGGGTCGAAGATCGGAGGAATGTGACGAGTTTCTTGTGGCGAGGTTTGTGATGTGAAATGTGATGGGAGAGAATTGTTTGGTGGAGAGATGATGTTCCATTGAGTTCATCTCGAGAGAGGATGCAAACTGGATTTGGGGTTCATCTAAACTGGTGCATGACGATGTGGTGGATGGAAATGAAGACGTTGAATATTCTTTAAGAATGGCTTCATCCATCCTTTTTCACAATCTTTCTCTCAGCACCCATCACACTCTCTTTATTCCTTCTCCATAAACGCAGAGATGCGTTTCTCTGCCTCCCTCCTCGCTGCAAGTCTCACGGCCTCAGCCCTCGCCTCCCCACTCACCTCCAAACGCGCAACCACCTTCCAATTCTTCGGCGTCAGCGAATCAGGCGCTGAATTCGGGCAAGGAAACCTTCCTGGTTCCCTGGGACGCGACTACACATGGCCTTCCACATCTGCCATCGGCACATTGATGGATAAAGGGATGACCACTTTCCGTATCCCATTCCTCATGGAGCGGCTCGCTCAGAATTCTATGACCTCGGGTCTGGATGCTACGTATTTGGCTGCTCTACAGAACGTAGTCTCGTACATTACTGGTCGAGGGGGTTATGCTGTCCTCGACCCGCATAATTATGGAAGGTATAAGGGGAATGTGATCACTTCTACTGCGGACTTTGAGGCGTTTTGGAAAAGTGTTGGGGGCGTGTTTAAAGGGGATGGGAAGGTGGTGTTTGATTGCAATAATGAGTTTCATGACATGGGCGATGATACTCTTGTCAAGAGATTGAATCAAGCTTGTATTGATGGTGTCAGAGGTGCGGGGGCCAACGAACAGTATATCTTCGTCGAGGGGACGGTATGTCTACCCTTCCCTTGCATCGTTTCAGAAAGCTAACGTGTATAGTCATGGACTGGAACTTGGTCCTGGGTTTCTTCTGGCAATGCCGTCCAGATGAAGGATCTTAATGATCCTTCCGACAAGATCGTCTATGAGATGCATCAATACCTCGACAACGGCGCCTCAGGTACATCTTCTGATTGTGTCTCCGCTACTATTGGAGTTGAGAGGGTCGCAGCTGCTACTCAATGGTTGAAGGATAACAAGAAGAAGGGGATACTTGGCGAGTTTGCTGGTGGGAATAATGACCAGTGTAAAAAGGCTGTTGTGGGCTTGTTGGATGATCTGAAGAAGAATTCTGATGTGTGGCTGGGTGCTCTTTGGTGGGGTGGTGGACCAGCAAGTTCTTTCTCCCCTTGGTGTTTATGGTTTTGTGTACTGGGGCAGAGTGCTAATGATTTGGTGCTTTAGTGGTGGGGAAACTATATTTATGGTATGGAGCCTGGTAGTGGACAAGGTGTTTATGATGCTTATATTAATACTTTGGTCAAGTATGTGTAAGATTTTAGTGGGTGGATGGGGGTTTTTGTAAGATATTTTTATTCTTGTATATATTTTTATCCTAAACTAGATATTGAGTTCTGTCTTTCAACATCTGTATAAGTCTTCATAGATCCTGAGTTCTTTTACTTCCCGTTGGAGCAAAACGCGTGACGGATTCTCGTGATCTGAGCTTTGGTCTATTTCGGGTTTTAAGCCCGAATGTAACCGCTAACTTGTATAACTTGCACGTGCTGCAACTTTGTGAGCTTGAAAGTTAAGGTCGATCAGTGCTATTAGTACCTTCAGTGGATTGAAACACAAGTTGGCATAGAATGAGACTTAAAGTATAATACCAAGGGGCATGACATATGTGATTGGAGTTCTGTTAAACTCCCTGCTCTTTACGGTAGGTGCTTCCAATTATCTCGCTTATTGAAAATAGATGATATTTATCCTCTCCCGAGTTCTTGGACGCAAACGTCATTCCCCATCGTCGGAAGTTGGTAGCAAGTTCTCTCGCTCACAATATCCAGGTATTCTTACAATTTTACAGTGGAAGGTGGCAGTTCATACTCTACTTGCCTTACCTATCCCCTGACTGTGGTCCTGGCTTCGATTCTCATGGACGATCTGGGGCAGCAGGCAAAATTGGGTGCCGCTGGGAATCAAGTGTGCGGGCGGTGCAAACCTATGACTCAACAAACCCGTGGAAAGTCACTCGGCTATAGAGTGATTGGATACTTTATTGGTACTGGACAGAAAATGTTGTTATTCTCCCATGAGACCTGGCGCCAGCCGGACCTCTCGTGCATCGGTGGCGAGGGGACCTTGCTTGGTTTGGTGAAGCCGGGCGAAACTATTCCTTCGCACGTCATCTTAAATCTATGGTGGCTCTCAATTGCCCTATGAATGCAATTCCACAGCTGCCTTGGACACTCTGTGGCGGCTCCAGAGGAAGACAGCCAATCGGACCTTAGTACTTGCAGACTGCGACTCGGTGAGTGCGGTGAGACCCTGGTCTGCTCTGGGAAACGTACCACTGATATCAACTTGAACTGATTTATGAGCCTGATTTGTGTTGAAGAAGGGGGGCCAGTCACGTGGCTATGTAGTGACCAATCGGTATCCCAAAATGATTTTGAGCGTGATTGGGGAGCAGCAATTTCTGCAAGGCATTTTTATGGGACTTTGAAATCACTGTTCTTTTTGGACTAGCTCCTTTCTCTCGGGAAATCATTATGAGTGTGTTTGTGCGGTACTGTTCTCTTCGCCATCCATTTCGCAAACATACACAAAACAAAACGCACAATCCGAGCAGAATCTGGGAAACATACCACTTATAAATTTCTAACACGCTAGAAATTATGCTTCAATACGCGAGGGCAGAATTGGTCTCCCTGTTGGCTCAAATGAGCCAGTGGTGGAGCTCCTGGTAATTATTGGCTGCTCTATGGCCAAAATCTGCCTGACCTGCTCAGAATTCTCGTGAGCGAGGCAGATTCACCACCAAGAAAGCCCAATTCTGCGCTAGACAAGAGTTCTGGTCTGCCTATTGGAATCCCGATTCCCTGCCAGATGGACCTCAGTCTGAAAAATGTTGGTCAACCCGAACAAATGAAGTCAGCTTGAGGCTAAAGTTCACAGAACACTCCACATCCACCTCCACTTCCAAGAAAGAGATCTCATAAAGTATCAAGGAAGGAGAGGGCCCGGAAGGCAAGTACTCGCACTTTCTTCATCGGAAGTATTTAAGCTAACATTAATCTACGACAGCCCGAACCTTTATTTGAGAGAAGGGACAATGCATGGCTGAAGGTCAAATTTGAACCTGGTCGCTATAAAGTAACCATTGATTCGGATGGGAAATGGAAAAATGGGGAGTGGAGGTACAGGGTGAGGGACTCCAATGGGGACCTCTACGACAACGGTGATCTAGTGTCTGAGGACGATCTGCATTCAAGTGAGAAGTGACTCAGCTGGGGCGGAGTTGCAGGTGTTCGGCTTAAGATTTGGTTAGGTAGTGTACAACAATGCTGCGGTGGCTACTTTCCTGTACAGTAGTAAATTGTGGGGCTCATCCCAAGGCATTTCCCAGCCTCGTTTTGTATCTTACAATCTACACTGTTCTGCACATTACAATACAGCATTCTTCACTAGATTAAGCCTTCGTGTCGAACTTATTGTATATCATTGTTTCGAACATGTGTGAAGATCTTATGGAAAAGGGGGAAGCTGGGAATATTGACGTCTTGATGCCGACGCAGAGTAGATCCGCGGTTCCCAAAAATACGGGAACAACAGCGGAACCTCCACCAAGCAGTGCGGTAGAGATTGAATCTGTCAGAGGGTGTTCCAGGGTTACAGAAGCTTTCACGCATCGGTACGAGTTTCAGGAGCTTCCAAAAGACCATCGGAAGAATACCAAGCGGTCTTTCACTCCATGAAAAGACTCAAGTCATACGGCGAGAATCAGTTGTCAGAGAGTGTTAGCCATTCAATTCTCAGAGCAGCTGTATTATCTTTGTAACACAAGGTGTGTAGTAGACAGTTGCCCAGAAGGATATCCTAGATTGGCGGCATTTCTCGATAGCGATGAAAACTTTATGCTTTACAGACGGTTCGGTTTTCTGCAAACTCGCTTGCTGCTTAACAAACAAGCTGAATTACGAGAATATGAGAAGGACCTTGATCGTATCGATGAAGAAGACAGAATGAAATTTCCAAGACGATTGAAGTCGAGAGAAAAGGATAACGCAAGTGACGGGCGGCGGAAAGTCCTTCTGCATGATATTCAGAGTGCTTGGGTTGAATACGGTTATCATCATTTTGATAAGATTATCTATTAGTATTGACTGCATATAGTTCAGTTACTCAATGCTGCGCGAGACATGGCAACTTACAATCGACCTTCGTCGCGAGATTATCTCAGTGTAAAAAGTTACTTCGACGAGGAAGCGCCAGTATCGAACCCCGAGAACTATATATACTGTACAGAGGACATAATAACTCTCAAACCTGGAAGAGAAAACGCATGGCTTGATGCAGCTGTCGAGAACATTTTGCAAAGGTTCTCCTGTAGATTTATACAGGTAGGTCAATCTCTATTGTAAGGTCGACTTCGATTAAGATCAAAAGCTGACATCAATACCGAAAGAGACTCTCTAGCTCATCTGTGAGTACACGAAACACTCTCTTACTATTTCCGCATCTGAAAATCGACGTTTAGGAGCTTCTTCGAAAAACTGACCCGAACGAAACTGGAATCTTACTGTATAGCCGAGGGCGAATCAGTGTCGTGGTTTCGATCATAATCTTGACAGCGATTCTGATACTTTTAATCGTTCCCGTCTACATTCTATGGCGCTTGACCCGTGCTGTCAAGTCTGGCGAAGAGATTGCTGTAGTTATTGTAGTATTGCTAGTCTTCACATTGGTATTCTCTGGTATTCTGAGACTATTGACACGAGCAAAAAGGCACGAATTTGGCAGCCTCTGCTGCGTACATACCAATACCTAGTCCACTTCTGTCGCTTGGGCAGCTAACTATTGATAAGATACTGTGCAGTCCTCGTTGTTTTCGTCGGAAATGTTGGTCAATTAACGCCTGCATTAACCTAATCACAGGTCACCAGCATGGCACACATGCCATAGACGTGATTAATCTTGAGGAGCAGGAACAGAGATAAATTCCATCGTAGATTAATTTGTCTTTTACCGCGACGTGGACATTTTGGGGGCATATAGAAACGTAGGAATTTGATGGCAATCAGCAGGATCTCTGTGTCACTAGTTCATTGTGCTATAAGTTGGTACAGTAGTGGCTGCATTATTAACAGTAGTAGACCACCTATAACCTTATAAATCATAAAACCCAAATCAGCCCATGTAATCACACTCCGTATGCTGTGTTACTTTAGATGTATTTGGGCAGATCAGAGTCTGTCTCGGCTGTGCAATGCGCAGTCCAAGCCCCGCATCTTCTGGTGGCATTGAACTGCAGAAAAATGATACTGCGCCTCTGTCAATTGAATACCATCAATGGCTCACATGGTTCTGATGGCACCAGGTGCGATGCATGTAACCAGATAAATGCCCTGAGTATGGTTTGAGGCTGACAGGAGGGCCATGGCCTCAGCCTTCTGAGGCTTGATCCTTCGAGGTACGAGATACAATATCAACCCCAAGATTGCCTAGATTGTAAACCCCAGACAAAATTGAAGCATGGTTATACATACCCACCCAGATCCTGATTTTGACCCAAGTATTTTATTGAGTTGTTTCCAATCAAAACAATATGTCTTGGTTCAAACGCCCTCGCAATGACCCACGGGCGACTACCACCAGTGGCACCTCTCCAGCTGAGAATCAGAATGTAAACTTCCGGGAAGATTGCTCTGAGGAAGTACCACAGCCTGCAGGGGACTGTATCAACGATAACTCGCCAGGCTCACCGGAGGGTCAGGCCAAAGCAGCTTCAGAAGACGCAACATTAAAAAAGGCTTTTGACGACGTCATGAGTGATTTTGGTTCTATTGGTAAACCACATCGGCAGGCTGCAGTACTCATGATCTCTTGGACTAAAGAACTTGACGACCTTCATACCAAAGACGAAGTGACAGAGCTTCAAGCTGTTTCTGAGGAGCAGTTCAACTACAATGTCATGAAATGACAACTTTCAGGAACAAAAAAGGCTGGACTAGAAATTGCAAAACACCTTATCGATTTTGTGATGAAATATGACTCCGAAACCGGATTATTAATTGTTCATTATGCCGATCATGGAATTCCTGGCAAGAGAGGCGAACTTCACTTTACTGGGTACTGTAACTTATGTCAGGCTAACGGCTCTCAATCTTGCTAACACTCAACCAGGAAGCGCATTCCGCGTCAGAAAGATAATGGTACCGCATGGCATGAATCAGAACATATTATTCGAGATGCAGCTGCCGATGTATTGCTGATTTTTGATTGTTGCTTTGCCGGAAATCTCTTACCGACAGATGTTCGTTCGTACTGGCCCGCAAGAGGCTTCGAGTGTATTGCCGCTTGTGGAAAAGGTGAAACTACACACTTTCTGGGCGAGAAATCCTTCACTGCTGCTCTCATTTGGTCGCTACAAACTCTCGTCCAAAAACGAACACGGTTTTCAACACAAGAACTTCAGGCTACAATCATGAACGACACCCCTAATTTTCCAGAGAAGCAGTACGTGCCACTCATCGAGCGCAATGAACCTTCCGATCAACGTTTAGTACTTGCACCAATACCTAACGTCAATGAAGAAATGCCCGGAGAACCACCAGAGTCCCAGCATCCAATGCACCATCTGGATTTGAGATTTTGGTATCCTCACAGACCAGATGAGGAAGAAATTTCATCGCTTGCAAAGAGACTCCGAAATCTGATGGTTCATGAACGAATTGGTGCTTCGAGAATCGGATGGTTGGGATTGAAGAATCGTGAACTTGCCAAGCGAGAAAGAATTCGTAGTGTTGCAGACGCTTGGCTGAGCAGGATTAGACGGGATTCATCTGGCGATTCATTTTCAGGAAACAGTATCGCATCAGCAAATATCGAACGTTGCATCTCGCCGGAGTTTTAAATCCATAATCCAATAAACCTGCAGCCCGAAACCCTAAGCCAAGTCGTTGCAACCGTCAAACAGAACCCAACCCATCAACTTCAGGACAAGCAGGACGCAGGAAACCAGATAAAGCAAGATAAATGGAGAAACGCATTATTTTCTGCGAAAGAGAGAATGTTCTACAGACCAATAGGCTATCTGATAGGGGGAGCTGCTTTCACAGTATGCGTCATACGCTTATACGATATGGTCTTTCGGTAAAATGGCTTACATGAACGACACGCTTTAGAGGGCAAAGAGGGGGAAGCAATTTCAGCTAAAATGAGCAATCATTGGCATGATCCATATTTTGTTTTGTATTGCTGGTCTTGGTGGGTTTATCCTGCTTCTTGACGGTGGGGATTCGGAGGTGCAGAGGTCTGAGGTTTTTTGATTGTACGTATATTTTCAGGCTAAGCGTATCTGCTGCGGCTTTGTGAAAACTTTGTACTGGGTTTTTCGAGGTAGTTGGAAGAAAGGTGGTGTGGGTATGTTGGTACCAACGATGCTTGTATGTTGGTATGTCATTATTGTCTGGACGCTCCATAAGGCTGAAGAAAGCCTGAACCTATGGCTCAGGTTGTGTCTGTTGCTGAGATGTCTTGATAGCTAGTCAATTAGTTAAATTGATCTTACTTACGAGATTGGTTTGAGAAAGTCAAATAGGTTCACTCGTTGACGTAAGCCAATAGAAGGTACCGGTAGTTTTCTTCACCTGGCAATAGCTTCATTTTGTAGAACAGTTGCCGCTAAAGCGTGGTTGCTATAGCACCGTGCGACTTAATGCACGGCTCATATAATAGGGGAATTTAGAACGCAGACCAGTGTAGCTGGGAATATGAAAATCTAGTCTTTCATATAGACCTGGGCACGATATTATCGATATGATATCGGGGGGGTCTCCGACGATTATTGTATCGTGGATATATTGACGACGATATATCGGATTCTTGGCGATAACCGATAATTTATCGATTATCGATACGTGACATGGAAAAACTATAAATCCGGAACCGGACTAATTAGCATGCTTTACTCTACCCCTTAATTCCTAGCTTAAACAACACTACTACTAATATCACTACTAAACGCTCTAAATTTAACCAAAAATACTAACACTTAGTTCTATACCTAGCCTCCCTTGTAGAAACACCTAGGGAGGTCGTTAATCGTCCCTAAAAAGACCACGAGCTGATACGACAAATGACGAGGGGAAGTCACGTGGTACTGTCTAAGATAGGGTATAATACTACTATATATTATTAGCTAGCTACTTACACTCTCTTAGAATGCTATACGAATATATATATAATTATATTTAGTGTCTGGGTCCAAGACGCTAAATTAATATAGTTAATATAAATAATATAACGTGGTTTATCAGCGAGTCGATCATATCACCGAGTCGATCACTTTTCCTTGGCACTACCTCCTCAAACTTCAACACATGTTTTCTTCAACTATTTACCATGGAAATTCAAACTCAAGAAGCGCGAATTACTCTAGCTATCGAGGCTATTCGGTCGTCCAAAAAACTAAACAAACGCTCTGCGGCAAAGATCTACAATGTACCATATACGACTCTTTCCGACAGAATGGCTGGCCGAACCTACCGCCCAGATTCTCAAGCCAATTGTCATAAGTTGACTGAGTTAGAAGAGGAAGTGATTATTCGGTATATACTGGATATGGATTCCAGAGGATTTGCGCCCCGGCTCGCTGGTGTAGAAGATATGGCTAATTTTATCCTTGAATCGCGGGGGGGAAGACGCGTCGGCAAGCTCTGGGCCCATCGATTCGTACAACGACAACCAGACCTTAAGACGCGTTTTAATCGCGTTTACGACTTCCAGAGGGCCTTATGCGAAGATCCTGACGTGCTAGGCGCATGGTTCCGGCTAGTAGAGAATATGAGGGCGAAATATGGGGTTACAGACTCCGACTTCTACAACTTCGACGAGACAGGCTTTATGATGGGTGTTATTTGTCCTAGAATGGTTGTTACTCGTGCAGACCGACGTGGTAGAGGCAAGGCAGTTCAGCCAGGCAATCGGGAATGGGCTACAGCAATTGCCTGTATTAATGGGGAGGGCTGGAGTATTCCTCCATTCTTGGTAGTTCAGGGCAAGAACCATCTCTCCAACTGGTATACCGACGGCGGCCTCCCACCTAACTGGGTTATGAAACCGACAAGCAATGGTTGGACAAATAATGAAACAGGCCTGGAATGGTTAAAGCACTTTGATAAACACACTACAGCTCGTGCAAAGGGTCTGTATCGAATACTAGTTTTGGATGGGCACGAGAGTCATGAATCGGCTGAGTTCCAAGACTACTGTACGAAACACAACATTATTACTCTTGGACTACCTCCTCATTCATCCCATCTAACCCAGCCACTTGATGTTGGGTGCTATAGTGTGTTAAAACGAGCGTATGGTCGGCAGATTGAGACGTTTATCAAGGCCCATATCAACCATATTACAAAGGTTGAGTTCTTTCTAGCCTTTACAGCAGCATACAAGGAAACAATGACAGTCCTAAACTGTCAGTCTGGATTCCGCGGAGCTGGCCTAGTACCATTTAACCCGCAAGCAGTGCTTTCAAAGCTTGACGTAAGGTTACGGACTCCAACTCCCCCTCGGACGTGTAGTGCCAACTCCCTCCCCTGGGTGTCCCAGACCCCTTCCAACCCAACTGAAGCCCTTTCACAATCAACTCTTGTACGAAATCGTATAGCCTGTCATCAAGGAAGCTCGCCAACTCCACTTTTTCAAACAGTTGCTGCGTTAGCAAAGGGTACAGAGCGAATGGCACATGAGATGACCCTTTTGTCTGCTGAGGTCCGTACCCTTCGCGCTGCAAATGAAGCCCTAAGTAAACGCCGTAGGGCTAAAAAGACTCGTGTCCGCCAAGGAGGGGCACTTATAGTAGAGGATGTACAGGATATGTTAGCTCAGGAGGATGTAGACGAGCAAGTACGACGCGACATGCGTGAGGTGGGGGTTGGTTATAAGGAGGGGCAACCTTCTAGGCGGCGCTGTAGAACTTGTGGAAAAGCTGGTCATAACGCGCGAATTTGTCAAGAAGTTATAGATATATCTAGTTCGTCAGATATAGAGAGCGATAATTAATTTAATATATTGTGGTTGATTTATTTAGGTGTAAAGTTCTGTGCCAAGAAAAAGTGATCGACTCGGTGATATGATCGACTCGCTGATAAACCACGTTAATTATACTTTATTAACGTTTTTATTACTCTTTTATCTATAATAATCCTATTTTTACTTAAAATATTACTAGTAATTTAGCCTAGAAAACCCCTTCTAAAATACCCTAAAATATACTAAATTTAGGTATAATTATATCGATATTACTCGAATATCGTCACTTTTGATCCAACGATTATCGTATTATGGAATAATATATCGGCGATATATCGCCGGGTATTTTCGATAGATATCGTATCGGTGCCCAGGTCTGCTTTCATATTTCTGAAAATATGAAACGGGATCTTGTAGGTTTCTCGTTAGTCTTTTATTACAGTAAACGACAAAAATACTACCTAATTAATATTTAGCGACAAAAATACCACTAATGATATAGACATTCCTGTACTAACAAGTTTACTAGTAAACCAGTGACGTGGTACATAGGTGATGTTTTTGTCGCCAAAAAATTAATCAGATAGCATTTTTATCGTTATTGATTAATTAGGTGGTATTTTTGTCGTTTACCGCTTTTATTAAGTGTAGATTCTTCTGCGTGGGCTAAGTCTATGCCTAACTTGATTTAGAGATCCAAGTACTAAGAATATAGCGTGGCTTATTAGTGTTGCCACAGGGTAGATCAGATTCATGTACCCTTCATTTGTTAAACTCGAATATCACTGTATTAATGCTCGGTGAAAATATCGGTGGATCAACTAGAAGGAAAATATTTCAGAGGGTTGGCCATTGTCTCAAAACATTGCGCACACCACATCCTTGGAACTCTTTTCTGTGAGGCCTGGCATGTAATGGCACCATGCAGAAGGCCTGCTTCTAGTCCTAAGATTTTCATTGATACAGAGTAATACAGCATAACAAACCAGAAGAATTACATCAGCCCTAAGGCAGAATAAATTGCCGATTCACTGGATGAAGCTTTGCATATACGCCTAATGCGAATCATACACCTTGGTCGAGCTTATTCAGCGCGCCATCCACGACCAAAAGATGGCCAGGTCAAGCGACTAGTTGAGTATGGCTCGTCTGAGGTGTGGATTTTACCCGGGTCATACCCCACACAAAAGAATGGAACCACATCTCTGATTAATGACATATGAATCGGCCCCACATATGTTCTTCTAATAACGATATATAAACTTACGTTTTTGTGGGTTTCCTAACGTTATTCGCAAATTCTCCAAGAATCCGTCTGAGGAATCTGCCTGTATAATATTGTACATAGAAGACCAGGGCGGCCACTTGTACCATGAGTTATAAAAGCGAAGGGGTCGAAATAGAAAAGAGCGATGAATCAGATATTCGTACTACTCCGCATGATGGCACCGTAGAAGGAGAACCTCAAGCTTATACAATTGTCAAGCGAGATAAACATGGTCTACCATTTGTTCCACAACCAAGTCCATATAGTGATGACCCTTTGGTAAGTGTTGGTTCTCGTTTTCTCGTCTTAATTATATATCTGGCAAATCACAGAATTGGTCCCCATTCCTCAAGCTCTCCGTTGCGATACAAGTAAGCTGGCTGGCTTGTCTTGGAATCATGAGTGCAGCATCTATAAACCCCGCCTTTGTACCGCTTGGAAAGGCTTTCCAGATCAATACTGTAGAAGCTAGTTATGAGCTCACTGTATTCATCGTGTTTTCAGGTGTAGGACCTCTCTTCACAACTCCATTCGCAAATGTCTATGGTCGCCGTCCCATCTACCTGATTGGAAATCTCCTTGCCGCAATTACCAATGTCATCGCAGGACATTGTACTACCTGGTCAGGAATTCTCATCACTCGAGATTTTAATGGAATTGCTGTTGGTTCAATCGAAGCAGTCGGTGCGGCTACAATATGTGATATGTATTGTATGCATGAAAGAGGCGTCTATATGGGAATTTATACCTTCTTCTTGACGAATGGACCACATATAGCTCCTCTCACAGGTGGTTATATTGCACAGTATATTGATTGGAGATACTGTTTTACTATCCCGGTAAGCTCTTCCATATGTGTCAGATAATGAGAGAATTCTCACTTACCAGATACAGGCGTACTTCCAATTTGCCACATTTGTTTTCACGATCTTTTTCCTTCCAGAAACTCTCTATTGTCACCAAGCACTTCCCAGCACTAAATACCAACCAAAAACGTACCTCAATTTGTTGACTTTCAAAAATACTCGTCTAGCTGACCGTCGCGTCCGTCCTTCGGATATTTTGAGACCGCTCCAAATGTTACGGTATATCTCAATAGTCATTCCGTCTATATATTATATGACAAATTTCGGATATGGAACCGCTCTCTTCGCCATAACTGGGGCGCAGCTCTTCAAAAAGCTTTATTATTTCGATGTCGCTCAAACGGGGTTGATGCTCAGTATTCCTCTCTTGGTCGGTTGCCTCCTTGGAGAATTCAATGCGGGCTGGTTGACAGATTGGATGGTATATCGTTACGCTAGAAAACATGACGGGTTAAGAAAACCAGAAGCACGATTAGATGCCTTATGGTTTGCTATCTTGATCCCCATAGGCATAGTGATTGAAGGTATTTGTTTGAGTCATTCTGAGAACAGTAGCTGGGTAGGGGTTGCTATGGCTATGGGGATTGCGAGTTTTGGGTTACAAGTTGCCACTACAGTTGTTTCCGCTTATACTACTGATGTAAGTCTTCCCTTTATTTCTCTTTCCGATCCTGACTAAGACATACAGTGCTACAAGCCTCAAAGCGCGGAAATATCAACAGTACTTCATCTTATTCGATCGGGTTTCTCTTGCTTGATATCTTTCTATGCGTGAGTTTGTGTTTTCCACCCCATGGGAGTATGATAAGCTAAAACGTGAACTAGGATTCCACTTGGCGAAAAGATTGAATGGCAGTATGCCTGGCTAATATTTGGAATTATAAACGTCGGGACTCTCTTTCCGATGTTTGCACTGAGAAGATATGGGAGCGAGTGGAGGGAATTGAAGTGGCAAAAGCCTCCGAGTTTTCATAATGATATCTGAGCATCAAGTATCATGAGAACTGTGTTGTGTTGAGTAGCTCTTACATCATGTACAGAGAGTCAGAGGTCCTGGGTGTATTTCTGGACATATTTTACCTTTAATTTGGTCGGAAGGGAAGGCCGAAGGCATTACCTTTAGGTTTACCGAAGATATAGCAAGAGTACATGTAGGTACGTTTGGGTTGTTATATAACCATTCTTGCCTTGTTGCCTACATACGGATATTTATGAATCTTCCTCTTCTCCGAATCCCCGGTCCTCGCGCATATCACGGGCTTTTTTCAATCCTCAATACTGTACAGTAGAACTAGAATCCCGCCAGTGGCACAGTGCGCCAACCGAGATTAGAAGATTCAACCCCGGTTTTGCCCCTGCATTGGTTCATCATAAACTGTCTCTCACACGTGAGGTATACATATTCGAAGCTTTAACCTCCTTACTCTACGTATCAAGTGTCATGAGTGACTAAAATGGGAATCTTTACAAGTATGTATAAGAAAGAGGATTGTCATGTGACCGCTTGTGCAAGCCTCCATGTTCCAGCCAGTGAGCGATAAAGACTCAGTCATGAATAGATCTAGGACTTGAGACTCGAATCATTAATAATAGGCTTATCGCGCAAAGATATTTTGCAGACAGAGCAACCAGGTAGTACATTATATTGTCAACCATATGATCTGATAGTGCTGCCTGCTGTGTTTTTCCTGGCAGGTCGTTCTTACTGTCTCTTTAGTTAACACGAGAGGTATCACTTTCCCTCAATTAGCGATTATTGGCATATCTGGTGCTGGGGATTCTATGTTGAAATAAAAGAAATAGATGTCGTTGAAGGTTTGTGGAAAATTGGGGACAAAAACAACGTCGGCGGCAGGGGCTAACATCAACAAAGATTGAAGTGAGGCTGGGATACAGAAGAATTACTTGGCGAGGTTCAGTCAAATAGATTCGTTTGCTTGTGACACTTTGTGTGACTTTGTGGCGGGATTCAGACTCAGTCACGGATCAACCCCTAGTTATTCTCCCTGGAAGTAATCCAACATCGCCTAATGTAGTAAAAGCCCGAGAGCATTGAAACAAGCTGACAATAGGATCGCGGAACACTAGAAATGACTGTAGTTTTATAGCACCCCATATCTCCCTAGGATAATCATCATAGGTACGCTATTTGTATTCCCTTGTACCAAAGTTGGTTTATGGTATTGCACCGCTGAACTGATCTTGTACTTTAAAATGCCCATCCAGAACCATTTCGGTGAGGCTCATTCTCATTTGGGATCAAAATCCTCCATTTTTCTTGAGAAGGAACTCCCCAGTCCTCCCTCATATGAGGCTACTATGGAAAAAAGTGCACCTAATTCCATTCCCGACGAATACCCCTGCTGAAAAATTCACAACCACATCTATCAAACTCGACCACCCAGGAGGATACCAAAAGATATTCCGAAAACCTTGGAGTGTTCAGAAATTCTCAACCAGCAAAATATGTCACATGGGGGGTCAACTGGGTCGCCCCGGGGCGAATGGTTGGCCTTATGTTTGGCGGCCTTGCATTTGCAACCGGACATCATGTTTTTTATACCTCTCTTGATGGGAAAGAAGTGACCACTGGTAGAGGAAACGACATTCGGGACTTTACGACCCAGGAATGGATGATTGGTTATGGAACGGCTTTCGCATTCCTCGCAAAAACAGCGATGGCCGCTGCCGTTGCTTTTGCTTTTGCTTACAAGGAGCATATATGGACAACCATGAAGAAAAAGCCAGTCTCTATTGCTATGAAACCGGAGAGCTCCAATCTTGAATACAATTGTTCCTTGCTGTGACGTGTGGCTTTGAAGCTTGGGACCGTCCCCCAAACATAGCTAAGAGCGACAAATTGGCTTCCCTTAGGTGCATCAACTAGACACATATCTTCGACATCGATAAGACGGAAAAGTGATACGTCCTTGATATGGGAGTGCCACGGCTGAGGTCCACACCTTGAATGCGTTTTCAAGCATGATTCAGTCCAGTATTTAACTAACTGAGAATTGATCTTGGATTCATATAGTCATTACCCAAACCATGATAACTCTGGACCGTCGGTGAGGATGTATAAAAAGAATTGCATAGAATCGCCGACTCGAAGCTCACAACTATAACGTCCATAAGTAAGACCTCAGTCGTGATTAATTGGGTCCGGCTTCACATGCACCACCTTGGCGACCCCCATTGCTGCCGTAATCAAGTTCAACAGTAAGTTACACCAATCTTCTTTACTACACACTTCGTTTTCTCTGTCAAGAGGCAGCTCTTGATCACGCATACGAACTTGCTCAACAATCTCCTCGCATAACCGACATTGGGATGACCTTTTGCGTACTTCAGCCAATCGACCAAGAGTTTTCCTTTTATCTGCACGTCTGTCGACGTGACCATGCTCATAAAACTCTGGAGGTCTCAGTTTCTTGCCAAGTTTGCCAAGTTCTCATCAGTATAGTCTCTATCGTCTTCGAGGCGCTCGTCTGGAGCATAAGATGTTGGGAGGCCCAAGTGGTTAAGTTCGTATTCAGGAGATGTTTGATAGCGCCAACCGGTTTGTATAAAGGAATCGATTCTGAGATTCAGGTTTCGACATGTTCGACAGAGACGGCCGTGAGAAGTCGACATTTTGATTGACACATTCGCTTGACATGAATGTGGTATTTTACATTCTTCGTTGTTCCTATCAGCTGCGGTGTCTGTCAACAGTGGCGTGACAATGCAGGTAGGTAGCCGTAGGTGGAGTGGGGTAGACAGATTGTGTAGGCAAATATCGTCGGTTCGAGGCTAGAGGTCTCAACAAACAGCAATCGTCATGACGGAAAATCCCAGTCCCAATCCATCGGCGGATTCGACAGATCTGGAGAGATTGTTGGCATCGGTGGCTGCTGGATCTATCAATCTCAATGTCAGCATTCAGTACCAAAAGCCGCTGTCGCGCAAAGGATGCGGTCCGCCGCTCATCATTGTCGTGCCGGAGTTGAGGACCTCAAGTCAGCAGAGTCAGCCGGAGCTTGAAGATAACGGCAAAGGGAAAGGCCCAGCTGTTACCCCACCCCCACCACCATCACCTCTTTCTTCTACAAAGAAATGGGCTGAGGAAGGTTTTGCTGTTGTTGAGTACCAACCATCTCCATTTGATGCCTATGATTGGATTGATGTCATTCTCAAGAAGGCCATCGCGGCGCTGGATCAATCCCCCGGGTGCGAAGGCGAAAAGATAGGGCTGATTGGTATGTGCATGAACACCAAAAACAGTAGCATTATACATGTATCTTTACACAAACATACAATCTCACTTATATACTAACCACAATCACCATCAGTATATAACACAGAATTCTGGAATCCCATAGCAGGTGTGCTCGCCGACAACCCGAGACTCGTTGCAGCGGTGGGTTATGGAGCCTACGGCAACGAAACGTCGGATGAGATGGTTGACTACCCTATCCCCCACATCTTTCACTTCGCCAGCCAGGGGAAGGAATGTGAAGATGAAGAGGGTGATGAAAAGATCTCAAACAAGATAATCCACGAGTATCCCCAAACCCTGCATGAAAGCTTTGCGGATCCGCTCAGTCCCAACTTCCACCCCTCAGCCGAAGCCATTTCTCACTCGAAAAATTTGGCCTTCTTGAAGAAGCATCTTGGCGGTCCGTACTTTGATCTGGAGGCTATATGGGATGAGCACACTAAGTTCGAGTTTGGCGAGCGTGACGTGGAGAAGACGATGGCTACAATGGTCGAGGAACCTTACGTCAATCATATCCCAACTGTATGGTTATCGTGCAGAAATGACGGAACCGAACGCTGATAATAGCTCGCAGATGACCGGCGGTATTGGAGGAGACAGGCTGGCAAACTTCTACCGTTGCCATTTTATTTTCAGCAATCCTCATGATACCGAATTAGATCTAGTTACTCGAACAGTAGGAATTGATCGTGTGGTTGACGAGTTCGTTTTCTCCTTTACACATACCATGCAGATAGATTGGCTGTAAGTCTTTCTCTCCTTTACACCACCACCCATTGACAAATACATAGTTTACCGGGAATCCCACCAACGGGCCGTAAAGTCCGAGTTCCCTTCACCTCTGTGGTCAATGTACGTGGAGACAGGCTATATCACGAACACATTGCCTGGGATCAAGCATCTGTTCTCGTTCAGTTAGGTCTAATGCCTGTGTATTTGGATTTTCCGTATCCACTACCAGATGGAACCATGCCAGGGCCTGGCAAGAAGTTTCAATATCGAGTACCAGCTGCGGGCCTCGATACCGCCAAAAAGCTTCTGGATAAAAACAGTGTTCCTTCAAATGGGATGTTTGATTTCAAGATTCGAGAGGTGGATATTTAAGCACCATATATAAGAACACACTAGGATTATAGGATTACCTCTACCTCAGCCTTGCCCACTATACCGTAATAACGCGGCAATGTGTACAGAAGTTTTGAACTTGTACTCTGTCTATTCTCTGTATCATATCATATATTTTTGTTTCTATATATTTTTGTTTCTAAATAAGAAGCTCCCAATCAGTCTCTATCAAATAAAAGGCTCCGACCCTTTCGTGGGTCACGCATCAGTGCTCATCTACTTTCATTTTACGTTTTGGCTTTGGTTGTGTTGCTTCGGTCATCAATGCCAACTGTGCTGCCAATTTTCTGAAAGGCCCTGGATGGAAGTGTCTCCAATCGTGGGCCGCATAATGGAATGGCTCCGACCTGGAATAGCTGCCGAGTACAACGTATTTCCAACATTTGGATGCGGATCCTGGGAGCTCTTTTGATTATTCATACGTTGTTCCTGGGTCTCTCCTTTGTAACATTTTTTTAGTTCATTTGTCCTATTCTGTGTGAACCATACGTAGTGGTGGTGGTAAATATTAATTAGTGAACAGTCTTTGATGCGATAGTAATCAGAAAAATAATCGTGATTAGTCAATATACACTTGGCAAGCACCGAGTACTTAGCGACGTGCCCCTGAATCTTGAGTGCGGGCATCGTGCGGGCGTTGCTGACCTATGCGGAGTATTTGATAATCATAAAAGTAGAATAGATGACGATTTCGAATGTTTTGGATTGTCAATCCATACTTGACGCATATTCTTTGCGCTGTATATATTTCAGAACTTTTTCTCTTCGACTTTTGTTCTGCATCTTCTTCAGCTCCCCTCAAAAATCCAACGGTCATCAACAATACAACACTACGCACCCAAAATACATCCCGAATATCCCTCGCCTGGTTTAGCCCTACAACAAACAAAGCCCACTATCCGCGCACCAAGCTTCTCAGGATGACTGACTTAGTTCGAGAAGCACCGCTAGGCCAAGCAATTCGATGGATTACCGGTAATCGACTTTTGCAATATCCCGAAGAGAGACCAGGATTTGAGCTACCAACTCAATATCTCACTAAATTCAACTCCGAGAAACGAAGGCAGTCAATTCTCTCGCCAGTCAACATGAAGACATCGGGGCCAAACCTACAACGAAATGACACCACTACAACCAGTTCAGGCGACAGTGATCTGGAAGGATTAGGGATATCCAAGACAAAAAGCCGAATGGACACTCAGCCCTACAGCAGCGAGTGATTCGAAATCGAACATACAGTTGAGAAACAGGAACTTTAACAAGTCTTATTATAATCACCGAAACAAAAACAAGGGCGATCACGCGATACAATATCAATTCCATTTTCGAGGTACCTATAGGCATACGGTATTTTTCAACCTGTTTATAATTTCGTTCCTAACTTAAAGTACCGGCCAACAATTCGTCCCGCGATGCTTCACAGCCCATAATTCCCTAACGCTAATCCGATCCATTCCCCAAATATCAAAGTATCGATCCCCCCCTTGAAACTAGTTCGGAGAAGTTTTAACCTCAAAAGCTGAAATAAAACAGGAATAATCTCGAATATTGTTCGTTTATTGATTTTTAAAGTCAACAACATTTCCAGCTTCATTTCTAAAGAAAAACGAAGTTCTGATTTGACCAATCACATCGCAAAGGCAGTCGATCTCGTCAGTTTGAGGATTACAATTCGCTCGAACCTTACTCTAACCATAAGAAGATTATAGATTAGCAAGAGTTTGTAGATAAGAGGAATACGGTATGTAGAGGAATACTAACGAATTGTCTGCAAAGGCGGTCGCAGCTTGCATCGCATTGGACTTGGTATTCCGCCGGAACCTTATTTTGTGGGATTGGGCTTGGTGCGGCTATGCTAAGAGTTGCAATAGCGAGGATGAAGAGGGCGGTGAAGGACTTCATGTTAGGGTTTGTGGATAATGTAAGGTGGTAGGGTACTTGAGTTAAGTGATTGAGCGATTGAGTAATAAGTGAGTAGATGGATTGATTAAATAAATAAAGAAATATCAGTCTACCATCAATCTTCTTATACCCTTAATTCCCAAAGACATAAGAATTCTATTCCCGTCCAAACACAAACCAAGAACCTTACAACCCCTTAACAATCCCTCATATTTCATCAGTTTCCCTAGACACGTTTGATCGAACCTTAAAACATCCTAAATATAAACAGGAAACCACATCAGCCCTTGATCGAATTTCTTATTTTACCACGTACCGACATGTGAAGGTGGAGTAATCGACATTGCCGAAAAGTCTATAAAGTATTTTAGCTATCGGCTCGCAATTTGTATCCTTTGATTCGTTAATTAGGTCTACTTTGAAGCGAGATAGTGGGCTAGCGATCGTGTTGCAGTAGTTCGCCAAGATCAGGGGTAGCTTCCCCTTCCCTCTTCTCTCACAGTTTCACAATACTTGGCTGGCTCGTTAGCTTCAACGAACTCCGATAATCTTCCAAGACTGTAGAACCTTAATTCATCATTAGTCCAGTGGAGTTGTGATATACATTTATAGTGAATGAAAGAGCTCAAAATGGTATAACTAACGTATGATATTAAGGTGTTATTCATAAGGAACTACGATATGTTACTATAGGGTATACGGAGTATATCCCCTTAGATTAATGAGTATACCTTCCTTGTTCACTATAAACCACTTATATCTATGGTGAATGACTTGAAAGCTAGGAAATTCACTGGAACAACTAATATACGACCTCATTAGCCGGTTCACGGGTGAAAAAAATGGATCTTGAAGCCTACCTCACTTCCTTAACATACTTATTAAGTTAACAAGCGCCATTTCCCTCTACCACCTAGTAATATCCCTTGGACCGTAAATCACATAGCGCCAACGCTTGGCCCTAACGTTAGGTCTCGAACTCGCATAGTTCTATCTACAGTAGTCACGCCTAGAGCTACAGCTGTTTATTAAACCACGCCCTGAAACGTCGTAAATCTATGGTTTACTATCCCTTCGTGCGGAATACACACAGCGCCCAGGCTTGGTATAGGGCTTTAAGCGAGCCGTGGCACCGCTATACCTAGTCAGGACGTGCCAAGTATCAAATCGTTACTTCAGCAGAGGGTGCGAGGAGAGTGCGAGGGGCTAAGAAACTTTTCGCGGCGTGGGCGTAGTAGTGGTGTTAGTGCTTGTTTGAGGGGACTTTTGACAACCTTTCTAGCGCTCTTTTTGACCTTGTTGTTCTATATTAAGAGATGGTTTTTTCTCTATCCTGCGGGGGGCATATCGAATATAAGAAAGAAGGAGCAGTAGTGGTAGTAGAAGTGGTGGAAGCTGTGCGCGTTAGAGACCTGACGTTAGTGCCAAGCCTAGGCGCTGTGTGTATTCCGCACGAAGGGATAAGAAATAGTATAGTTTAAACTTACATCTTCCGCTACTTTCATAATTCTATGATTTTAGTGATTTCTATCTAAGGATAAGCATACTACTAGTCACAAGACAAGGCGTTTTAGTACTTAGCACGTCCTTATTAAAGGGGATAGATAGTTAATACTAGACACTATCGCTGGTTATAGTACGTCTCCGCCGCGCCTTTTAGCTAAACCAGCTAATTAAAGACTCGGATTTACAAGATATAGACTTTTTTCACATATGATTTACGTGACAGTGTCTAGTATTAACTGTCTACCCCCTTAAGGTATAATAGCTCCACAGCTCGCTTAAAGCCCTATACTAAGCCTGGGCGCTGTGTGATTTACGGTCCAAGGGATAGTATAAAGATACCTAAGACCAGAAAGCAGGGGTTTAGTAGCGCTCGAGCTAGTATTAGCTACAAGTGTCACGAATCACGTGTTCACGTGATAAGAGAAGACCAGGTGGCGTCCTGAAAGGTCAAGCACTATCAGTACTCTTATAGCAAATAGGGACGCTTGGGCTAGCTAAGCGATCCAGGGATTTCATTCGGTTAGTATCACGTGACAGGGTCACATGATCGTTGGAGCTTGCAGGAGCTTGCGTTGGAGCTTGAGGATCTTGGGCTCCCCGTAGGCTCCACGAGAACGAAGGTTCTATATAAGACTGGCACTTCTGCCATTAGATAGGAGCTTCGTGCTCAACTTAGTTATCAATCTTATCATATTAGTTTGACATCTTTGATACAAGTAACGAGTTCACTTCCAAGTGAACAACCCGATAGTCTTCTTCTTATCATAGCATACCAACCAGCGAACACCCAGCCAAGTTTAGTTAGCCAGTTTGAGTATTCGTTACAACAAGCTACCGTTTCAACAATAGTACCTAAAACAGCCTCTCTCCTTTCCTTTGTAATTGTTCACAGAAAACTTAAGCATCGTTATAGATTCATTATTTCATACTCTCTCACGAAAGGCAAAGGGTATGATTTAATTACTATGATTTCTTACTGTATATTAAACCCGAAATCTTCTAATCACGGTAATAATACTAACAAAAAAAGAAGCGACGAGAGATGATTAAGTAACAAGTAATTAATCCCATGAACAATTTCTCTCTTCTAATATAATACTTAATCCAAATGTTCTAATTCCTAAACCACTATAACAAAAACAATAAACAATTCGTCTATCTGTCGCTATGAATACGTTCTGGCATTTAGGAGGGAAGGTCACGTGGAACTGTATATAACACTATATATTATTAGCTAGTAGCACCCACTTTCTTTTAGAAGAATAGATGAATATAACCCTAAGGTATTCCGTGTTCGCTGGCCCCAGAGAGACCAAACCACTATCGTTAATAATTTTCATCCCGTTCTTTAATATCCTTTTATAAGGTATGATCCGCAAATTCCGTAATTTACTTAACTTGGTCAACTACCACGACCACCTAAAAACCCTACTAATGGAAAAAAAAGTAGTATTCCTTCCTCCCTTTCCATACTACGCTTCCCTCCCCTATTATAATACAAACTTCCTTACCCCTAAATTCTATTAAAAGCGAATACTCGCTAAACCAACCTATCTCCACCAGCTAGTCCCCCCCCTGAAGCTCATCTCCTATTAGGAGCGTCCTATACTCTCTTACCCCCATTCTTATTACAAAAGTCACTATAGTAAAGAATAAACGCACACCAAGCACACGCACTCACGTACAAAAGAACAAATAGAGTAATTTAGCGATAGTAATACATCTATCCGAATTCCTCTATAAACCAAGTATCTATAAATCAAGTATCTATAACAAACAAATTCCCTACTATTTCTATATATCTATACTATCCCATCTAAAAACTACAACCCAAAAATTTAATACAATCTACTAATTCTATACAACCCAAAAGATCCATACTAAAGAAGAAAAATCTAATACTACTCTATTAACCATTAAATCCAATAAATAATAATTACGGCCGAACTAATCTCTTTAATTTAACCCGCAAGACCCGCTATGTCTACATGTTTTTATATATACTCCTCTAATATAGATACCTCGACAAACAAAAATTCTTATTCTGAATTTCCACTTACGATCAGCCATCTCTTGAGAGTGTCGAGTTTTCCGTGCCGTGGGGATTTTGAGATCTGATGAGTGCGAGCGGATTATGTGGTGTGTCGATTTTGTCATGTGAATTTGCATCGTAGCTTAGGTATCTTGAAAACATATCTTTACATAAGAGAACCACAGAGGATGGGATGGGGTTTTAGAATGCCAAAGAGCGGAATTGCTGTTTTTTGAACTCTTGGGATGCTCTGCGGGGCATGACGCATGGTGCGAACTGTCTCTGAATTCTCCATCGGGCTTTTAATAGGGTAGAATGATAGTGGCAGTAGCAGTAAGTAGTCTTAGTGACCCTTTGGCTTCCTGGTGCCTCTTGCCTGTAAACTGCAGTCCCGGCGGCAGAGCATCCTGGGGTGCCAAGCGCCCATCGAGGTAGGTGGGACCCACCAACCCCCCCTCCTGCCCCTCTTTCAGCGACCAATGGGCTAGTTGCTACTACGAATGGCATTAAGTAGTAATTGTATCCTGAGTGAGTAGCGACTTCAAGTAGCGTTTCCAGCTTCGTATTCACAAGTCAAATGTAAATCACCTATCTTGTATTGGCGTTTATTAACATTTAGTCTACTCGTACTCGTACCCGAGTACCTTAGAGGGCAAAGCAGAGGTTTTTAGACGTTCGGGGGACAGGGTCTATAAGAAAACCCTTCCAAAACTATCTTATAATAGTTAGGAAATTTGTAAACAGTTATTATTGAAGACTATCTAAATTTAAAACTATTATTATAAGAATTTATCTTAAATCTATTTTTGAAAATAACCGTTTTTAAATTTCGTTATAGTTCTATATAGTTCTTAAAATTAAATAGTTATATAAGGGTTTTTTATAAGCGAGCGTTTAATAACTATCCTAGAAGTATTCTAAACCTATTCTATACTAAAACTATTAAAAATTAGAATACTCTTAAAACTATTTAATAATAAAATAATTAAACTTATAAAATATTAATATCGGTATAATTAGGTCCTAGGATAAAAGAGAGGGTAATTATATAAAACTATGTTAGATAATATAATATATACTTAGATATATCTAGAGAAATAGAATTATCTACTTCTAAGTAAGAAAAAACATGTATATTTTAGTTACTTTATATAAAAGAGAACTAATAGAATTCTTTATTACTTATATATATTATATATATAGGAATACTAAAAGTATAATCTAACTCGTAAGGCTATATCAAGTATAAAATACTTTTAAAACTTATATAAATTAGTAATAAGTTAGATAAATTAAAGTAATCTTATATATATTATCTTTCCTTTAAGCGAGATAAGGATTAATTAGCTCTTAGTATTCCCGGAATAGACCCGAAAAAAACTAGTTAGATAATCCGGATTCTAGTAAATATATATAGTATAAAAGAATAGCTTATATCGAGTATAAATCGTATCTAAATTAT